AACTATGCCTTAACCCTACTGTGCAGGATGTTCCTTAACCCTATTTTGCTATGTTAGAAGTAGTGATAATTGAACAAGTTTGTAAGGAGATTCTGGTCATCTAGTTCCTTTCAATTTTGCGTGTGTACCTGGTAAAGTGGCCTTGATTTGGTTGATGCCATTCTTGTAAGGGTACAATTACTTTGTTCTCTATAAAATTGTAATTTTTAACTTATGGTAAAATGAAACAATGTAGAAGCAAAATTTTCAAAAGCGAGACACGTGGATGGATATAACCGCTAGCTACATAAACAACAACCAGTGATTGACCATTAAGTTGAAATATATTTCTGTACTATTAACTATTAAGAAGTAGAGGCACATGATCCCGGTGCCTTTGTGTAAAGGGGCATGAAAAATATTTCTCAGCATTAGTATTGGAATGGATAGTAGTTCAGAGCTGTAATATCTTTTCTAGCAACATCATTTCCTATGTCTAAAAATCTATTTTTTTTTTCAAATAATATTGTAGGTTGTATTCGGGGCAAGTAAACAAGGAATCATTTATGCTTGGGATCTTCGTGGAGGAAGAACATCACTTGCTTTTCAAAGTCTGAATGAGGTACATGGAATATATAGATATTCAATGTTACTAGTAACACTTTTGTTTTCTGTCTTGTTTATTTAATACCTGGAAAGGTTGAAATAGCTTGCGCATGCCACTTTGAAAGCAATAAGGACTAAGGAGGATCCTCAAAAAATATTTGGAGACTATTTGGTTCAGTGCAAATGGCAACTTCAACTACAGTTGTAATTGTAATTTGCATCAAACCAAACATGAAAGCTATTATTAGCATTCAACCAAATCTTAGTTACTGTTGCTAGTTGTTGGCCCAAAGCTTATGGCCCATTACCAAAAAGCCCATTTCTCTTTTGTTTAATTGAGGTGCCCTAGCCTATGTGCCCTAGCCCCTCTTTTTTCTCTTCTCCTACCCGATGGTTCTCTCCTCCTCAGAAGTCTTCGTGATCTGATGGCCGCCGCTTGCTCCCATCCGTAGGTCGGCTCCCCCCTTCGTTTTCTTTGCTAGCTCCTCTCCCGTGTTGGCTGCCCCCTTCCCTATATAAGGGTAATGGGTTGGTAGTAGCTTGGTAGAGGAGGAAGTGGAAGAAGAGATATTGAGGAGAAAACTAAGCTTGAGCTTTCCTCTGCTGTGTGCGATCTCCCTCCTTCTGTGAGCTTTGTGCTCCTGAGAGCTTTGTGCTCTCACCCCCTTTGTGCGACCCTCTTTGTGAGTAACTGGAAAAGGAGATCGACGAGCTCTCCTCTTGGTCCGTGGTGGTGCACTGTGAATGAAGAACAGGACTGATTGTGCAGACCTCTGAGCCAAACGACGACGTAGATCCTCAACAGTGGTATCAGAGCATTTCACACGCATACATTTTACAATTTGTGGCAAGGGTTACATTTGAATACATACACCCATTTGTTATATACTTTCATCACTAAAGCATTAATATTGCACATCATATATGGTCATGCACAGTCAACTATTGTAGCATATGTTAAGAGTAGAAAATGATAACCCTTAGCCCTCATGGCAACATTAGAGTTTTTGTGCATTGACAGGGTCCTTTGACATGATACCGGAGCAACTCAGGTAAATTCCACTTGTCATGAATTTAAAGCATATTTTAAAAAAATGATAGTAAAGGGGCATGAAAAATATTTCTCAGCATTAGTATTGGAATGGATAGTAGTTCAGAGCTGTAATATCTTTTCTAGCAACATCATTTCCTATGTCTAAAAATCTATTTTTTTTTTCAAATAATATTGTAGGTTGTATTCGGGGCAAGTAAACAAGGAATCATTTATGCTTGGGATCTTCGTGGAGGAAGAACATCACTTGCTTTTCAAAGTCTGAATGAGGTACATGGAATATATAGATATTCAATGTTACTAGTAACACTTTTGTTTTCTGTCTTGTTTATTTAATACCTGGAAAGGTTGAAATAGCTTGCGCATGCCACTTTGAAAGCAATAAGGACTAAGGAGGATCCTCAAAAAATATTTGGAGACTATTTGGTTCAGTGCAAATGGCAACTTCAACTACAGTTGTAATTGTAATTTGCATCAAACCAAACATGAAAGCTATTATTAGCATTCAACCAAATCTTAGTTACTGTTGCTAGTTGTTGGCCCAAAGCTTATGGCCCATTACCAAAAAGCCCATTTCTCTTTTGTTTAATTGATGTGCCCTAGCCTATGTGCCCTAGCCCGTCTTTTTTCTCTTCTCCTACCCGATGGTTCTCTCCTCCTCAGAAGTCTTCGTGATCTGATGGCCGCCGCTTGCTCCCATCCGTAGGTCGGCTCCCCCCTTCGTTTTCTTTGCTAGCTCCTCTCCCGTGTCGGCTGCCCCCTTCCCTATATAAGGGTAATGTGTTGGTAGTAGCTTGGTAGAGGAGGAAGTGGAAGAAGAGATATTGAGGAGAAAACTAAGCTTGAGCTTTCCTCTGCTGTGTGCGATCTCCCTCCTTCTGTGAGCTTTGTGCTCCTGAGAGCTTTGTGCTCTCACCCCCTTTGTGCGACCCTCTTTGTGAGTAACTGGAAAAGGAGATCGACGAGCTCTCCTCTTGGTCCGTGGTGGTGCACTGTGAATGAAGAACAGGACTGATTGTGCAGACCTCTGAGCCAAACGACGACGTAGATCCTCAACAGTTACATTTCACACGCATACATTTTACAATTTGTGGCAAGGGTTACATTTGAATACATACACCCATTTGTTATATACTTTCATCACTAAAGCATTAATATTGCACATCATATATGGTCATGCACAGTCAACTATTGTAGCATATGTTAAGAGTAGAAAATGATAACCCTTAGCCCTCATGGCAACATTAGAGTTTTTGTGCATTGACAGGGTCCTTTGACATGATACCGGAGCAACTCAGGTAAATTCCACTTGTCATGAATTTAAAGCATATTTTAAAAAAATGATACCACTGCGTAAGTCCAATTTTCAGCCCATGAAAAGGCGCTTAACTTGTAGGGTCGTGTTAGTATAAAATAATAACATTCAAATCTTCATCATAATAGAGTTCTATTATAATGGCTGGGACATTTGATAGTATAGAACTATGTGGGAAGTACATTGATGTTTTCCACGTCAACTTCTATAGAAATTTGCTGCCTATAAAGCTCATTTCTAAATATAAATTGCATAGAGAATATAATACCATTGCCATTTGCTAGCTACTTTGTTGTTAATATATTTCCAGGCTAATAAAAAATGGAATTGTTTACACCTGTAGACTTATTTCCTGAATCATATAACTTCCATCTCTTTTTTGTCAAAAATTTATCATTTCTTCTGTTAACAAGCTAGGTCTAACCCATGTTAGAACAGGAACAAATTGATAATGGAGAAAAAATAGAAGGAAAGGTACAAAGGGGAAAAAAGGTTGGAACTGTTAAGAGTATAAAATTATAACCTCAACTCTCATGGCCACTCTGGAGTTTTGGGATAAAGGTGGACTTTTACATGGTATCAGAGCCAAAACCTTAGGAGTTTTGGTGTAATGGCAGAGACTTTTACATGATATCAGAGCCGAAACCCAAACCATTGAGGGCCTCATACGTCACCTCTGGCTTATCACCTTCTGATCCTGAAAGTTTTTTATTCAAGAAAAAATGTCTTCCATCATGCCACCACGGCGACTGCAACAAAAATCCTTGGCTCACATATTGAGGGCCTCATACGTCATCTTGGGCTTATCACCTCTGTACTCGATGGCTCTGTTGTTAACCTTGTTATCTCTTTCTTCAAGAATTTATTTGAATGCAAGGTTGCGGAAAGCTCTGAAGCATGGATTCGCCCCCGGAGGCCACGAATCTGTGTCCGACTCGAATCGGACACGGATTCGTCACGACACGTGCACGATACGGTCAATCCGTGTCCGACACGGGTCAACGGTCAAATTAGGCTCAGACACGGTCAAAGGAGCTCGGACACGGCTCAGATTCGTCGAAGGCCAATTCATTCGGGTTGCGGGTTTGGTTGTTAAAATCAAACCCAAACCGTTCGATTAAAAAACTCATCCCTATTTCTCAAATCTCCCGTTCGATTCGATCCTCGGCTGACTCAAACGAAAGAAAAAAAGAAAAAACCCTAACCCTAATCCTCTCTCTCAATCTCTCAGCTCACTCACGTTCGATTCGATCACCTCCGCTGTTCTGACCCGATCCCACCGACCGACTCCTCCCCGTCCAGCACAACCATCACCAATGTCATCATTATCTCCTCCGGTTTTTGAGTTCTAGCAGCAGCCCATCATCATATTATTATCATAAATCTGAGGGAGAAAGTTATTCATTTATACTAAATCGAGATTTTTGTATTACGTTCCATCTATATATAATAATAATTTTTAAAAAATCCTTGTCGTATCCTCGTATCCTATTTTTTTTGGATTTTGCCGTATCTCGTATCTGTGTCCGTGTCGTATCCGTGCATCATAGGCGGAAAGCATAAATCAAAGCAAATCGGGAGGATGCTGCTAAGGCTTTTTAGAACTTAACCCAGGCATATACAGGTAAAAGCACCAAGTCATTTTGTTTAATTTTAAATAAGGATAATATTAAAAAATAACAAAAAGGTAGGAAAAATCAGAAAATTATAAGCAAGAAAATTTGGAGGGGAAAAAATTCTACAAATTCCTATGTGATATTTATAGTGATTCTAAGCATGAAATGAATGTGTGACTATACAAAGATTCATTTGTCAAAAAAAGAAAAAGAAAAAAAGATTCCATTGCATAATACTAACAAAATACTATGCATTGTCATGTGATAAACTAGTATGTAGTGGACCATGTAGATCTAATATTCAACAAGTTAATAACTTTTATGTGATTATTGAATAGAAAGCTTGTGGTGGTCGCTTTTGGGTTTAGTGGCCATTTTCTGGTTGCTTTTCATTTCGGGTCCTCTCTTGTGCAGGCTTTTCCAATTGAATAGCGGCCAAGGTCCCACAACACTTACGTGGCCGCTTAAGTGCTGCTTTTTTCAGCTTTTTACAACACTGCTTCTATAACACCAGAGCCAAAAGAATTAACTAGACTATTCTTTGGTGCTACTTTAGCTTTCGACCCTCAACTCTTACCCTCAACTTGGCCAATAATTTCATTTAAACCTTGGTATATGGTCTAATGATTTGATGATGAACCGCCATTTAACTCATATTAGGAGAATGATTTTGAGTTTGGATGGCTACCATGAATTGTTATTATTGGGATGGAGAATCTTGTTCAACTACTTTCTCTATCTCGCATATCACTACCTAGCGTGGTCGAATTTGACCTTGGTTTCCTCTCCAGCCTACTCGATGCCCGCATTGTTGTTTTGTGTGATCTCTGATTATCTCTATTGGACGTTTCAATGTTAGAGATCCTACTATCTATCTCTACGTTGGATATTCTACTGTTTATACCCATATCAGAAATATTACGGCATGTCTCCATGTGGGAAACTATACTTTGTTTACCTAAGTCTGAAGTTTTTGATATTCTAGACATTCAAATTACTATCTGTTGTCTCTACCAAATGAGTTCTTTCAGCCAAAGTTTTGAGTGACACTGTTGTCAATAAATCTGTCAAAGACTGGGGCAAGATAACTAATTGGTGCAAACTGAAAGCCAATAAGATCATCATTTATATCATTAGGTGGATTGTTAGATTGATATTTCCATAAGTATTATCTAGAAGAAATCCACTTTTATGTAGCAAGATGGACATGCACTGCATGATGTATATCCGTGTGGGCCGGCATGCGTCTTCAGTTTGAGCAGGGGTGTAGAGAAATTAGGCAAGTCGTGAGTTTCCATGTGTCTAGGTACGATGTATCACATGCTGGAGTTGTCATGTTCACATGGTTGGTTTGTCATGTGACTAGGTATAATGTATGTATCAGATGATGCTAAATTTATAGTTATGTGGTCATGCCTTGATTAGCAGGTTAATGGTTTTATAAATGAACTCAAAGAGCAGAGAGCTAATCAAGCTTTTTCATTCTCTCCTACTTCTTAACATTCTTTTTTCACATGTTATCAAAGCGACTCATGTGCAAATCCCATCAGCCACTTATTTAATGTGTATTATTGAAAAAGATATTGCCACATGAATCAAGGTTTCGACCCGTAAGAAAGGAACATTATAACCCTCAGCCCTCACCACAACTTCGGAGTTGTGGTGTAGTGGCTTGGATTCCTATTTCCTAACAGTAACTAATAGCGAGTTTCTACCTGAGTTACTCAGCTGTTATTCATTAGAGACAAGACATTATATGCTAAAGTGATGCGTTCACCGACACGCATCTGTGGTTAAAATGATGCCGTGCAAAGGGTGAAGCTGTTCGTCCACTGGCAACCATTTATATTTATTCCCTTTCCTTTTGGGTGGCCGAGCATTTCTTTTTAATCATTTTATCTAAATATTTTTCCTACAGCTTCATGTGTATTCAATACTTTTTAATCAATTTTTTGAATTGCAATATTGTTCAAGGTACATCACCCTCCTTTGATATCCCTGAAGGTGTCATCAGTGTTAGAGAAAATAACATCTTTGAAGGTACAAGGAATCATCTTTATCCTGATTATACTCTAGTTTTTTCAGCTTTTTTTCTTTGTTCTTACTTTTGTACTTGCTCTCTGAAATATGTCCAAGAAAAATAATATAATGTTCGAGCAAATGGCTTATAAACGAACTATGTAGTTTAAATTCTTTGTGGGATCTGGTACCAGGACTTTCAAATTATGTAGTAATTTACCAATTTCTTCTGTTATATCGATATAATCATGTTAATGAGTTGTATAGATAATAAAAAAAATGTATGGATAATAAAGATTTT